CCGAGCCCGCGCCCGCGCCCCGGGGCTACCAGGCGGGCGGTTGACGATGGGGAACACAACCTCGTGCTGCGTGTCGTCCAGCCCCAAGCTCCGGAGGAATGCGCACTCGCGGCTGGAGTCCTACCGGCCCGACACGGACCTCAGCCGCGAGGACACGGGCTGCAACCTGCAGCACATCAGCGACCGGGAAAACATCGACGGTGAGCGGCGTCGCTCCCTCTCCCTCTCCCTCTCCTCTCCAGCGGGGCTTGGAGCCTTGCGGGTTCGCTGCCTCCGGGCTAGGCCCGCAGGGAGTGGTGGAAACTTTGCTAGCCACAGACCTCCGGGCGTGGGGCAGGCGTCCAGGGGTGCTACAGTGTGCATGTGTCTGTGCTGTCCGGAGGTGACAGGGAAGGCCTCGGGCAGGGTGCTTTTGGGATATTGCCAGAGCCGTTATGTTTTGGGTGGCAGTGGTATTTGTCCTTTGCTAAAGGGGGGGAATTGTCATAACGGTGAGTTCTGTACCTGGAGGTCTTTACCTGGAGTTGGCCTGCGTTCCCCCCAGACAACTCTGTTCCAACACTATTCCCCCCCCCCAAAAAAAAAAAACCTAAACCAAGCCCAAGGGAGTAAGTATGCTTGTGACTATATACCGCAAATGTGTACATATGTATGATATATGTACATACACTCCCGCACACGCACATAAATACTTTATGGGGATGGTTGCTGGGTTGAAGTAAAATGTTCACCTGAGAATGTTGTTAAAGACAGTTATTACCAGGCGGCTGTGGGTTAGTTTTTGCATGGGCTAGAATTACAGTCTTAGGAATTTCAGGTTCATCTGGGTGACTTGGTTGGTATATTTGGAAAAAGTTAAAGGAGTCATTACACCTAGTAAGTAATGTTTTATCTTACTGATTGTGCAGTAGCCTTCTCAGTACAGCTTTATCATCAAACTCTAAAAGTAGTTTGTGCATTGCACATAAAATACAGTTATGTGATTCCCTACTCCCCAAAGATTAGAAGTTGGAAATTATATCCCTATGCCTTGTTTTTTGTTTTTGTTGTTTTTAACTAAAATCCTTATACAGTTTATCTAGATAAACTCATCTGAAACTTTTCTTATGAGAATGAATTGACAAGTGGTATTGATTTATTCTCGTCTTTGGAATGGAGCGTGCCTTGTAATGTGAAAAGCTACATTTAAATGCTAAAGGGAAGAATTTTGTCATTGTTTCAGGTTAGGACGGAAGCTTTATTAAATGAGTATCATAAGGATACTCACACAGTTTATAGTAAAGTCTGGTACTACATGATTTTCCTAGTGATGTTTAAGATTTATTTCATTTATGTGTATGTGTGTGTCTGTGAATGTGTTACTTCTGAGTGTCAATTGAGGTCAGAGGAAGATGTTGTATCCCCTTGATCTGGAGTTACAGGTGGTTGTGAACCATGGGGTGCTGGGAACCTATCTCAGGTTTTCTGGAAGAACAAGAAGCATTCTTAGTCACTGGGCCATCTCTCCAGCTGCAATAGTGTTACTTTCTGTGTCCATTTGCTTGATCTTCTCTTTACATGACTTTGACCATAGCCATGCATCTACACATTTTACATCACGTAGAAGAAAACGTTAGAATTCCTCCTAAACACCATAATAAAACTGTATTTTAAAGGAATGAGTGAAGAAATGAATGTTTATTGTAGAAGGCTGATACTAGTCCTGCACATGATTGACAAGCAGGAACACATTGACTCCTTTATTAATTAATTGTATTGTACAGGTTTCTGTTAGGCCCTTTTCATGCAAATCTGTACTGAACTTTGGGTGTACCCCTCCATCCCTCGCACTCCTCACACCTCCCTTTCTCCATTCACCTCCTTTGTTCCCAGGTTTGCTTCTACTTTCCTACCATTCCACACACAGCATTTTATGAGTGATAGAAAACATGCAGTATTTGCCCTTCTGAGATTGACTTAAGTTAATTTGCTTATTATTATTATCTCCAGTTGTACCCACTTTACGTAGAAGGAAATAATTTCATCTTCATAGTAGAAATGAATTCCATTGTATATAACTCATTTTCTTTTTCTATTCCTCAGTTGATGGCGGTGGTGCAGTAAACATTGATGCACAATTATTTCTGTGATTTTTTTTTTTTCAACTTTTGGACAGAGACCCAGGAGTGGTGTAGCTGAGTCATAAGGTTGATTTATTTTTAGCTTTTTCAGGGATCTGCATACCGACTAACACATTCTGGACTAGTTTACATTCTCACCAGCAGCGTGTAAGGGTGACCCTTTTGTCTGAATTCTCACCAGCCTTTGTTGCTTGTTTTCTTTTAAACGCCATTCTTAATGAAGTGAGATAAAAATCATTGTAGTTTTTAATTTGCATTTCTTAATGGCTAGTGATGTTAAATATTCTTTTTTATTTAAAAAAAAATTTTTTTTTGAGACAAGATCTCCCTATGTGGAAGTTGATGTGTAGACCAACTGGCCTTGATCTCATAGAGATCCACCTGTTTCTGCTCAGATGTTGGGATTAAAGTTGTGCTCTAACATTCTTGAGTTCATATATTTGTTGCCAGTTTGTACTTCATCTTTTCAGAACTGTCTGATTCATTAGACTAGTTTTGATTAGGTAGTTTAGTTTTTTGATCCCTGGTGAGGTTTTTGAGTTCTTTGTATAGTATAGATTTGAACCTTCTGTCAGATGTATAGCGGCAAAGATTTCTCCCATCCTGTAAGCTGTCTGTCCATGCAGGTATTGAGTGTGCTTAGATTTTCTTTACATTCATAAAAACCTACTTATCACTGTTGGCACTAATTCTTGAGAGACTTGTGTTTAGAAGTATTTACCTATGTTGATATCTTAAATGTTTCTTCTACTTGTCCTTATTAGTGTTAGGGTTTCAGGTCTTACCTTAAAGTCTTCTATCTGTTTAGAGTTGTTTTTTGTATGTGGTGAGAGAACAGATCTAGTTTTATTCTTCCATGTGTAGATAGTATTGCCAGCAATATTCATTGAGGAGGCTGTTTTCTCGAATCGGATTTTGTAAAAAAAATGCTGTGGCTGTCTGGGTTTATAGCTGGGTCTCCTATGCTGTCATTGATATGTCTCTGCTTTTATACTGGTGTTATGCTTTTTGTTTTCTTTTTGAGACAGGTTCTTTGTAGCTCTGGCTGGTCTGAAATTCATTAAGTAGACCAGGCTGGCTTCAAACTCACAGAGATCTTACCTGCCTCTGTCTCTTGAGTGCTGGGATTAAAAGTGTGTGCCAGTGATGTGTTTATTACCATGTCTACAGAGTACAGCTTGCAGTCAGGCATGGTGATAAACTCCAGCATTGTTCTGTTGCTCAGGATTGCTTTACTAACTGGTTTTTGGTGTTCTCTCTGATTTTTTTCAGGCCCCCCTTCCCCACCCATTTGTAAAGAAGAATGATGTCAGAATTTTGATGGGAATTGCATCCACTTTGTAGATTGTCTTTGATTGTCTAGCTATTTTCCTGATATTTATTGTTCACTTTATGAGCATGGGACAATTTTCTGTCTTATAGTATCTTTGATTAATTTCTTTAGTGTTTTAAAATTTTCACAGTAGAAGTTTTTTTACTTCCTTGGCTAGCTTTAATTACAAGGCTTTTGTTTGTTTGTTTTTGAGGTAATTGTGAATAGGATTATTTTTCTGATATCTTCCTCAATATGTTCATTATTGGTGTTTAGGAAAGCTACTAATTTTTGTATATTGATTTTGTATCTTGTTCTTTGCCGAAAGTGTTTTTTATTAGCTCTAATAGTTTTCTGGTCATCTTAGGGTCTCTTCTGTATAGATTATATTATCTGCAAATAAGGTTACTCTGACTTCTTCCTTTCCCCTCTTGTATCTCTGTTATTTCCCTTTCATTATGTTGTCCTACATAAAACTAAAGGCATAATATTGAGTAAGAGTGGAGATGGGACACCTTTGCCTTATTCCTTATTTTATTGGAAATGCTTTCAATCACCCCCAATTAATATAATGTTGGGTATAGATTTGTTATCTATGGCTTTTATTATGTTGATATTATGTTCTTTGCATTCCTAGTTTCTCCAGAACTTTAATTAGGAAGGGTATTTTGTTGAAAGCCTTTTCTGCACCTATTAAGGTAATCATGTGATTTCTGTCCATGAACCAATTTATGTGATACATTGCACAAACCATTTTTTAGAATCATGAATGATCTTTCTGATATGTTCTTAAATTTTGTTTGAAGAAATGTTTTTCCTTTATGGTGTACACCATATTTGGTGGAGGTTTTGTGTTTCAAATGAGAGAGCAGAAACAACCCCAAAAAGAGAAAAATAAAAACAAAAAAGAAGATTAACATTTCAGAGAACCAAGTTGAATATTATTATGGGCTGTAGTAAAGAAATGGAAATAAAGTGATTACAATCAGCTTGTTGGCACTAGGCTTTGTCTTAGCTGGGGTTGTATTGCTGTGATGAAACACCATGACCCAAAACAGCTTAGGAAGGAAAGGGTTTGTTTGCCTTCCGTATCCTCAGTC